AAATCAGTTAGAAACTAGAAATTTTTTCATTCTGTCGATAAAATAGAATTATGAAATTTTGACTGCACCAATATAAATAATATTTATCATGACTTATAAATAATTTAATTTTTAGGCCTGCGGCATTGGCAAATAAAAGTAGATTATATGATACGTATTGGACGAAATTAGGACTTATTTAAGGGATGAGGGGGTATTATAAATACACACCGTCCAACTCTGTATTGTTTATAACAAAAAAACATATATTTTTTTGTTAATTGACAATGGTTCAATTCATCAACAATTCAACAATTGATAAATTGTTGAAAATATCATGAACTTAGATTTTTTTATTTTGGTAATTAATATTAATAAATGTTAAGGGATTTTTAAAATTCGATTTTTTGATCTTTTTAAATATGTATTTAAATCTCCTAAATATGTATTTAGAATACATATATGTCTTTTTGTCTGTATAAGTGAAAGTGTGTGTATGTTATATCACACACACACACTATTCCCCGCATATTTGGGAACAGAGCTGCAGACATGTATAAGTATCGACTAGGGGGAACTGAAAAGAATGAAATAAGAGGGCTTCAGGCAGACAGGGTGAACTCTTGTAATTTTTTTAAAATATATTTTCCTCAATTATAGTTGCAGTCTGATTAGGGTTTCAAGCGAAATGTAGAAATCAATTTACGAAATTTTTTGCTTTTATCACAAAATTTTAGTTATTCTGTTTAACAAAAAAAATATGCAAATTTTGCACAATTTTCGCATATATTGTATTTTTTCTCACAAATTTTCGCGTCGTTTAAGCATGGTACATTATGCCTGAAGCCCTGATTCCCCCCCCCCCNCCCCATCAAGTCCAAGAATAATGTAAAAAAAAACTGCGCCTCCATCTCACCAAAATACTTTAATGCAAGAAAGTTTATGAAATGTTTTAACAAAGTAAATGGTATTAAAGAATTAGAGAAAAGGATTTAGAATTACTTGCAATTATAATAACGCTCGGCAATTGGCCTTATAGGTTATAAATGGTTACAGCTTCACAGTAACAGAAGAAATGTCATTCTTTTGTAAAAAATCCGGGAAGTTTGGATTGATTCCCGGATTTTCTCCCAAAATTTAGGATATTTCCAAAATAATTTTTTTCAATTGAAATGATTAAATAAAATTAAAGTCAACTTTTTTTTACTTTTGGTTTGTTTCAAATTTTATTTGATGTAGAAAATAGCCGGGCACGCAACTGGGGGGGGGAGTAAGTGGGGTCAAGGGCCCCCCTTGACTCATTAAGGGTTGGCATGTCTCTACCTTAAGAAGGCTTGCCCCCCCCCTTTAGGGGGAAGGGCAAGAAGTCCACCCTGTTTTCAATTTAGCGATTCATGAATCCTGACCCTGAGCAAATTTAAAAGCTCTGATCATAGAATACGAATGTTTTTCTAGTAACAGGAAATGCATTAATCTTTGTTTTTTTACTATGCTGTTTTTTCCTGGGAAAGGGAAAGGTGGTTAATTAAGTATTTTTTAGATATTTTCACTATCAATTCTGCCAGGGGCGGATATAAGGATTCTGTAGGGGGGGGGGGTAAATATTTTTAATTTGGCGCGCGAAGCGCGCCGAATTTTTTTTTTCCCCCCCCCTAGAAATTTTTTTACCCCCCCCTAGAAAAATATCATGATGTATATCAAATTATTGGTTTTAATTGGGGTTGATTTGCATTTTCCACTCATTTCTGGGATTTACAAACTCAATCTAATAAAGGCTTCATGACATACCTTTCAGCTTTCACCTTGTTTTNCCCAGGATTCTAGGGGGGGTATTTACCCCCAGGATTCTAGGGGGGAGTAAATAACCCCAATAACCCCCCTTATATCCGCCACTGAGGCCTCCGGAAATAGCCATTGAAATAAGACAATATTCAAGTCCTCTCTCAATTCCCATGTTTATTGGAACACCTTAGGTAAGTTATATTCCCATGTTTATTGGAACACCTTGTAGGTAAGTTATAATTCCCATGTTTATTGGAACACCTTGTAGGTAAGCTATAATTCCCATGTTTATTGGAACACCTTGTAGGTAAGTTATATTGGAACACCTTGTAGGTAAGTTATATTTCTAAATATCAAAACCAGAAATTGATCCAGATTCCACATGCAGTTAAAGGAGGGGAGGAAGGCCAACCACATCAATCTCTAGTCCGAACCACATTCTCATCATTTTCTCGTCCGAACCACATCGAAATCCTCGTCCTTTCAATATTATTTTTTTTAAGTGTCCGATCCTTGAAAATAAATACATTTTTTAAAAATATGGCGACGTTAGGGCATAAAACATGACTAGAATAAATTTTTTCAAGGATTTTGAGATGTTGGAATCTTCATATCCACGAGAATGATGTCAAACATTATTTAGGTTCAAAATTGAATCTCTTCTGCCTCCAAAATGGATAACTTTCACAAATAAAAATTTATACCAAAGAACTCGCGTGAACATGGTCTTTAATCTTTCCATTTCAACCCATACAAAAAATCATTGATTTCTGATTTATTTACAAATAAGGTAGATTTGTTGTCCCCACTAAGAGATCACTACTGCCTGCCGCATGCTTAAAATTCTAGAAAAAATAATGTTCAATTTATATTATTCAAATCATTTGCTACAATTATAATTGGTCACAACCCTATGAATTCAAACAGTATTTAATCAAATAAAAATTGTAAGACATATCTCTAACCCAAATTCAGCTGAAATATTACAAAAAGTTTTTTACATCGAGTTTGAGAATGTTTTGCGGCATTTTCCACGAAAGAAAGGGCCCTAGATACAGACGCTTTTTTGTAGAACATCGTTTATGGAGCATTTTCATTTTTACACAAATCTAAAATTTAATTGGGAAAATTTTGTATTTCATCTATGCCCTAACGTCGCCCTTTTTTTTAAAAAATGTATTTATTTTCAAGGATCGGACACTTAAAAAAGATAATTTTGAAAGGACGAGGATTTCGATGTGGTACGGACGAGAAAATGATGAGAATGTGGTTCGGACTAGAGATTGATGTGATTGGCCTTCCTCCCCTCGTTAAAGTCTATTCTGAATTCAAAACTTTTTTGTTTTGATTGTTAAGCTCGCAGTCAAGCATGTTCAGACTATTGATCTCCATCTACGGAGACCTGAGGGGAACGGAACGATCAAGAACGATGCCATCATTCCGAAAAAAGAACAAAAGCATAGAACGCTTTCTTAAAAATGTTGGAATTATTTGTAAAGGAAAGAAACGGAACGGAACGGAACAGAAATTTTTAAAAAGATTTTTTAAAATCAGGAACGCGTTCATATTATCAAGGACGCGTTCTAAGTTGAGAATGCATTTTAAATCAGATATGTGTTCCAAATCATTTAGAAATAATTGTAAGATTTTTTTGATTTGATCACAGCTGAACCCACTCGCCTTCGGCCTTGGCCTTCCCCCCACTATAAACCTCCCACCCCCTACCCTGGCCTCTCCTCTAAACTGACAACAGACTACAGAGCTACAGAGCAGGTTTCAGTTTATAACTTCTGTATATTGTACATATTAAGGATTTTAGGACTCGCACAAAAGTAAACATTGCTCGGCCCAGAAATTATCTTTAAGCTTATTCTTTCAAGCCTAAATTCAAAATATATAATTTAAAGTATATTTAAGGCTGTGTGGAACTTTCTATTATAAAATCGCAATTTTTACTTGTTAACCAACTCTTTTCTATATAAAACTTTTGTCTTGGATGGAATCCTGACTATAGAACTGAACAGGGGATATAAACGTTCTTGACTAAGAAGAGAACAAGAGAGATGGAACTTCGACTAAGAAGGCCAAGAACAGAATGGAACGGTTGATGACTGTTCGTCTACTTAGAACGGAACGGAACGGGACAGAATGGAAGAAGAACAGAATGATTGAAAATAAAGGAACGAGAATGGAATGATCTAGCTAAAGGCCCTCGTTCTAGAAGCGAACGGAAAAATTTCCACAAAGTCAGAACGTGCCCAGCTCTAGTGGTGATATAATACTCTGATAAGTAAAATGAAGGGAGCAAGCATCATGAAATTTTCTAATTTAAAAATATCCACATTGGATATTTAGATCAAGCATTCAAGATCGAGCATATTCCATGCACACAAGTTGTGATCTCTTTTTTTATAATATAGATGAACATACAAAATTTCTTCTTTTAAACCTCAAGTTCTCCAAATTGCAAAAGTCTAAGAACTAAGGATTTAAAGCTTTCAATATATAGTCATCTGCAGCACACATGAAATCAAAACCATTTTCAGTCTCAATGTACAAAGCTAAAAAGTGCATTTACCAATTCAAATGAAAAATCTCTTATATTTATATTCGTACAAACTTGTATAATTTAATAACTTAGAGTTTGCTGAAGCAGCTGGACCAAATTGGCCAACATTTTTTTGCCAACATTTTAACTGTTGAAAATCCGTGGGCAACGCCGTTACAAAAAATTTATCAATGAAAAAACCCTCAATACCTTCCTTATATCATAGTGCATGGGAAGCCTGCCTCATTATCATGTACATGCATGTGCACATAATTAAGCAATTGATATATCCCTGGAATATTTTCCAGGGTATATTTAAGTACTATTTAGGGATAATTTTTAAATAACCTGAAAAGAAGAGGGATTAAATTATGATTATGATTATGGCGAAACTTTAGTCAAATTCGTTCAAATCTACATTATAAATTCTAAGCGCCCAAAACTGTTGGGAAAGTTGAATTTACTCTAGAGTCCCCTTTCAGCCGCCCCTTTTTTGGAGGATTTACCCCCTCCTTCTCCTCTTCTCCTTGCACCACCTTCTCTCTTTCAGAAAACAGATCAATAATAATAATATCACGAATAATCTTTTTTTAAGACTCGCTCTTTATTTTGTAATCCGTAATGTCCTCTAGTCTGTTCCCATCTTTACTCTAGAGAAAATAGTTCCTTTTCGCCGCATTGCGGAGTGATATTAAAGCCGCAGACTCTGCCGTTCATAGTCAATACTGCATCAGTTTAAGATACCACTCGGTCGCTAACTGTGATAAAACAATTCAAATCCAAAAATGGTAAGGCAATCCTTACTTTTTAACTTTTAAACTACGTTTTGAAGGGAAGGAAATGTTGTTCTTTATCATTTTATTTTGTTTATTTAGGAAATTTTTGTTCATAGGGTAGAGTATTTTCATTTTTAATGAGGCGTGTCATTAACATGTTATTTCTTTGACCTTGCCAATTATCGGCTTTGATTTATTTTCCGTTTAATGATGTGTTTTACAATTTTTTTTTTTAAATTTAAATATTATGTATGACCATTGAGGTACACTTGATGTAAAAATATTATATAGATGGTTAGCGCACTTAAGATTGTTCTCTTAGTTTCAATTAATCGATGAAATTTCAACATTAAACTCAGTTTTATTTTACAGAGCGGAGGAGAGGTAATTAAAGATTGTTGAACTTAAATGTCAGGTTTATTGCCCCACCCCCTTTTCGTCTGTAACTCCCTTCTTTTTCTGCTACTAATTTGCAAGGATTTCTGCCACTCTAAGCTTGCATCTTCAGGTAGGTCAGCTTGGACGAGCTGCGCAGAAATCCTTGATTTCAGTTTTGTCCAGTTTTTCAGTTCATTATTCTTGTTTCGTATATTAATCTTTTTTATTCTTGTTCTTTGCAAACAATAATTGTTTTAGGTAATTTCCTAGAGAATGATTGTTTAAAACTCCCCCCCCCTCTATCAATTTTTATTCATCGATCTTTTATGCAAGACATGATCATAAATCATCGTTCTCTAGGACAGAACCTTGTTCTATTCGGTGTGTTAGTTTTTTTTTAGTTAAAATTAAGTCCCCTGGAGACGGGGTTACTTGAGTAAACTTAAATTTTTATTCAATGTGTAATATGTGTTTCAAGTAATTTTCATTCTCATGGCACAAATTGTAATTGAAGGGGTCTTATTAACCTTTCACGAGCAATTTCATGGGTCTCGATTTGTTGATAAATTGCATTTATAAATAGTCAGGCAATTGATTAATGTTTCGCGATTTCTTGTGCTTTTTTAATCGATTATGTGCGATTTTGATTTGTATTTGTTCTCTAGGCTGATCAATTGACAGAAGAGCAGATTGCTGAATTCAAAGAGGCATTCTCTCTCTTCGACAAAGATGGAGATGGTACCATCACCACCAAGGAGTTGGGAACAGTAAGTGGAACTCATCCTATCCTGGGGGGGGGGGAATTCCTTTGGTGAAATGAATTAGTAATTGGACATAAAATTTTGTGGGGGGGGGGGGTTTCTAAGTTTCTAAACTGTGCTAGAAATTAGAAATTGATATGGCCCTCAACAAAGTTTGAAGTGATAATCTAACCTGCTCTATTTGGCTTGTGGTTAGGAGCTAATTTGTTCTATGTTTTAAGCTCAAACAATATATTCGCTTTGGCTTGAAATCTATGCTTTATTAGAAACCAGAGGGGGGGGGGGGGTATATAAATATTAAAATTATGTGGTCGAATATTGATCTTAAACTGAATCCATACTGTAAGCTACCTTGCAACCTTTGAAGTTCCAAAGCACATGTTCAATGTTCGTCGCTTTCATCCGAACACTATCAATTTTTCCTCGAGAAATCAATAATTTTTATAATTTTCTAGGTTATGCGTTCTCTGGGACAGAACCCTACTGAAGCTGAGCTTCAAGACATGATCAACGAGGTGAAATAATTTAATTTTTTATCAATGCGAAATCTGCCAAATTTTGGGAAAATCTGGGAAATAAGAAATTATCAAAACTGTCCGGAATGCACTGCACGCACAAATGCTGCAGTGGCTGGGATAATTTGAGAAGGTTTCTTGCATCCCTTAGACAACACCAGGTCCGGCCAAACTTTAATAAAATATGATAATTTCAAGGTCGATGCTGATGGAAACGGCACAATCGATTTCCCTGAATTCTTGACAATGATGGCGCGGAAAATGAAGGACACAGACAGGTATTTTTGATGTTGCAGATTTTGTCAAGAAGATATTTTTGTACCCACGGATAAAATTTAGTTAAGAGGAGCGCCGACCCTAATTTATTAAATGATTGGTTTTCTGCTGATAATAATAATAAAAATGACTAAGCGTTATTTCAAGTCTTCATGTTAAGAAGATATTTTCTTATTCACAAAGGTACCCTCTAATGTTGAAGATATTTTCCAGGTTTATTCTTGTTTGATAATAAGATAATTAATATTTTCTGCAGTAGATTTGGACAAAACATTCAAGTAGAAAATTTTCAGTTTCTTAATTTAAAAGTGTCTAACTGGTGCTTGATTAGACTAAGCTTTAAACTGTGGAAGTGAATTGGGTTGATGATGGGTCACCTAAAATTACGCTTATCAATTCCCTGTATTAATCAGTGTCTCTCGTCTCATTCTGACCATTTTGGTTTTATTATTTGATTCTAATTTGAAAGAAGCTTGTCCTAATATTTGTTTCAGGGATAAAAAAATAAAACCATACAAATACTGTCAGTTGAAAAACTATACGGGTGATCAGCAGGTGCTATTCATTTAAGGGACTATCTGATTCTAGGATAACTTTTTGATTTTAAGTAATTTATCAATGACAACATTTTTATTTCTGCTGAAACCAATTGACACACTGCACATTGTTAACTTTCAAACCTTCAAACTGATTTTTCTTCTTTCTAGTGAAGAGGAGATAAGAGAAGCCTTCAGAGTCTTTGACAAGGTATATTTTTCATTTTTCCAAATAGGATATATACTAATAGACCTAGAAGAAAAGAGGGGGTGGGAGATGTTTCATTTTTGTCATAGAGTTTGTTAGTATTATTTAGAATAGTTTATTGGTGAAAAGCCTCGTGAGAAAAGGGAAGGAGGATATTATTGACTCAAATATTAAAAGCTCGGGAAATCCTTATTTAAAAAATGTTATTGGCAGTACTAAAATTTAAGTCCTATTATTTCACGGAAATTTCGTTTTCATGTTGGTTTGGACTTTTCTTCTGCACTTTATATTCCCTTCCAAATTACAAGTAATCCCCTTGCCCCATTATTCCCCTCAGACCGGGCCCCCCTCCTCCATCCATCTGCCCATACTGGGTAATTGCCCCCGCCCGCATGGACCTGGAAACCTTACAGCCTCCGAATAAGAATATCTGTTGATGCTTTGAGGCAGCAAATGCGGGGTATTATTTCCTATATACCAGCCCCAGACCCCCCCCCCTCCCCTTCTGATTTAGCTGCCATTATTTTTCAGTTTTTGTTTAATTTCTGCAAAATTTATAGCTGAACTTTTTATTTTATCTTTCACTCAATTTTATGTCCATGCCCATCATTGGAATATGTTTCCTTGAATTCATAATTTTCTTGATGAAATTGGGGAATTAACCGATTTTGTTGGAGGAAATAGATTGAGTTAATTTTTTAGTATTCAAACCGCTGATGTCCACTTTTTCATATCTTTGCATAGAGCATTAAATATTATTCAAAATGTATGCCTGGGGACCATTCAAGGTTTATTCCGTCCCATTTTCCCCTTAAGCCTTTGAAATCTTTAAACTTTTCTATTCGACTTCATCTTTGATTTATTGACTGATGGAAGATATTTAAATTTGAATATTTCAGGATGGAAACGGATTCATTTCCGCAGCCGAGCTTCGTCACGTGATGACAAATCTTGGGGAGAAGCTTACAGACGAGGAGGTAATTATTGCGGATTTAAAGGGATTGGTCAGGGCTGTACGTTCTCTTTCCAGTTGGGAGGACTGTATTTTTTCGTTTCGAATACTCATGTAGGACATAGAAGTGTTTGAATATAACCCCCCTCCTCCCCCCCACCTTAAAAATGGCCTATTTTACCTTAAGTCCTGTTAGTTTCAAATTTGAATAAAAATGTTGATTGTTAAGGGGTCGGGGGACGATTTGGGCGTAGGCATACAAACTGTCAATATGAGGAGGTGATACGCACTGTGTAGTTTTGCGTATTTTTGGTTTGAGATAAAGTGATGTTACATGACTCTGGCAGACTAATGTAGAAGTTATGTTTTGTTGCATAGTAAGCTAATGAAAATAGTTGTTCCGGTTTTAGTCGGATATATTTGGTTAAGTTTGGTTTATTTGCATCGTATTCGTAGATCAGGATTTGGAGAAGTACTAGAAAGGAAAATTATAGGAGAGAAATGCTAGTGACTTAATTATTTAAAAATTAAATATTTGAGTTAAATGAACTTGAATATTTTTATCCACTCATTGTGTGAGGTTGTGTTTATTGGATGGTATATATTCCGACCAAGCTGAATAGACTCTTCTTGATTTTGCAAAAGTGAGTTCCGCTTCATTACTCACTTATTCACTATTCAGGGCAACACTTGAAAGAAAAAAATAGGGATGATTAGGCCGAAAGAAAAAAAAATGGGATGATTAGGCCATAAATTAGATTTTTATTATTGGATTCTAAGTTTTTTTTTCATTATCAAAGGTTGCTTGTTTGGGTCGATGTAAACATTGTTCAGATTGATATAGACTGCTAAGGTCGATTAAACATTGTTAAGGTTGACATAAACATTGTTTAGGTTGACATAAACATTGTTCAGGTTGACAAAAACATTGTTCAGATTGATATAGACTGTTTAGGTCCATTAAACATTGTTCAGGTTGATATAAACATTGATCAGGTTGCTGTAAACATTGATCAGGTTGATGTTAACATTGTTCAGGTTGATATAAACATTGTTAAGATTGATAAAAACATTGTTCAGGTTAATATAATCATTGTTCAGGTTGAAATAAACATTGTTCAGATTAATATAATCATTGTTCAGGTTGAAATAAACATTGTTCAGATTGATAGAAACATTGATCATGTTGATATAAACATGATTAGGTTGATATAAACATTGATCAGGTTGATATAAACATTGTTCAGGTCGATATAAACATTGCTCAGGTTGATATAAACATTGCTCAGGTTGATATAAACATTGCTCAGGTTGATACAAACATTGCTCAGGTTGATATAAACATTGCTCAGGTTGATATAAACATTGCTCAGGTTGATATAAACACTGTTCAGGTTGATGAGATGATCCGAGAGGCAGATATTGATGGTGATGGTCAGGTCAACTATGAAGGTCAGTTACAGTCTCTTTTTTCTATTTTAGAAGTTTTATTCTCATAGTTTATCTTGGAGAATAGAATCTGATATTAAGCCTTGTGGTAAAACATTATTATAGAATGAATTTAAACTAAACTTATCTTACTAAAAGCATATCTGGCATTCATGATTTTCTGCAGCTGCATACTTGTTGTTAATTCTTGAATTTTACACTTGGATTTTTTGTTCATGCAGTTGCATATTGGATATATTCAATGTTGACGCCATTTATGACAGCTCAACACATTTAACACGTTTTTTTTCGAAACTTTTTTATCTCAAGGATTTTTGATAATTCTAAATTTCTTAATGGTGAAACAATACTCTTATCTTTATTTATTTTATTTAAGTACATTTCTTATCTCCCGGATTTTTTGATAATTTAATTTTCTTTTTGAAAATACTACTCATATCTTCACCTTGTATTTCGGGAATCGCAAATCCCTGGTCTTTTCTTGTGAAATTTTAACCCCTTTGTCCATTTCTTTCGTTTCCTCATGTAGTGATGTGTAACTTTTTTTAATTATGTTCTTTTTATATTTTTACACTTTCAAAGAGTATTGTTGTACCTGGGCCAAATTCACACCAGTCCCGACTTACGCTTTAAATGTATTAATAGTTTTTTTTTATTCAGAGTTCGTAACGATGATGACATCTAAGTAAGTGGGTCCCGCCCATCTCCTGGGTTTGGGGAGAGGTGGGCTAAACTCATATCTCGGCCCGCCCACCTCTACTGCCCCTCTACCCACCAATCCTATTGCATTTTCTGCTTTCTGTCTTTATGTGATTGCTACATTTCCCCACAAGGTAAATTAGTTTCTTGTCATTGAATTCGTCAATTTTGATATTAAAGAGTTCTGAAAGGACTGAATGCGTAATCTAAAGTGACCCTCCATTTATAGAGCGGCGTGTCTGATTCACTTGCTATACAAAAAACGTCGTCAAAAATTAACGAGTAGATTTTCTAATTACGCGGAAAAAATCTGAACTAAATATTTCAAGCTGAACAACGCCACATCTTATTGTGCTAAACAGGTATCTTGTGTTGTGTGTCTACTGTCTATACTGTCTATGTGAATCAGACATGCTACTCTCTTTATTTGTAAGGTCACTTGAAATTACAGTTAAGAAAACAAATTGTGAAATTACAGTTAAGAAAACAAATTTATTAAACATTTTTTTCAGCTACCCTGTTTCTCCTACCCTCAACTTCGCTGTTTCCCGACCCTGCAGGGTGTCTCAAGAATACATGTTACACGCTTTTTTGTGGACACTCTTCCCTTGTTCGTGTTTCAAGTTTTTTATTTTTTAACCGAGTAGCGCCATTCTTCAACTTTGATTAATTGTTACATAATATTCAATCCACCAGTCTCTGGCGGCGGTTTTATTTTTAAACTCCGCTCAAGCCAACATTTTTTTTACAATTCTGACATCTTTTTTACGGCCGAAAATCGATACATTCCTCTTTTTGTCTATATTCAGTATTCTGCTGAAATTTTATTTGTAAGAACTATTAAAACTTTTAACTAGTCTTTTTATTTGTATTTGAAGGGTCGGATCCTGTTGATCACGACCTGGAGCTAAATTATTCCAACTTTCTCTTTAAATCTGTTAAAAATATGTAGATATAGAATAAACTTTTAAATCTCGATATTTATGTGTATTTTGAATACTTGTTAGCAGTGAAAACTCCCGAGTTGAAGCTAAAAGTTACACTACAATTTTAAATACAGAAGTAACGAAGATGAGTTGGGAAGCCAGGTGGCTAGGAGCCTTCACTTTTTCCCCTCCCTGCCACATTAGCTTTTTTTCTTCCGACAGCCATAAGCCACCACTATTTCCCCTTCTGGGCCAACACATATGACTTCCGGAAAAATTATTTTATTTGATGGTATATTGAAAGCGTGAATTCTACAAATCCAACCGATTCATATTCTTTGATCAGTATTTAAGTGTAAATATGAAGAAAGGATGATTCCTCTTTAATGTAAACTGCAAAACTTTTCTCTTGCAAATTCTTATTTTCATAAAAAATGTTTTATTTTCGAGAGTATTAAAAATGACGCACCATAATATACACTTAATTTTGAAGGGCTTCCTTCTGTGAAAATGTGAAATGTTAAGAGAGAATTGCTGAAATCCAACGTTTTTTGTGATTAAATCTGTAACGCAATCACATTAAATATTGTGATTTTTAAAAACTTATTCTACAATTCTGAACAATTTTTCTCTACTCCCACAATACATAAACTGACCTAATTATCTGTTAAAATATAAAACAGACCACTCTTTTTTTTTCTATATGATTGTATTGATCTGTGTAGAATTGAGAAGATGTGCTATTTTGCGTGACTCGGCTGGATTTTTGAAAATCACACTTTAAAGGCCCTAAATGTATCGTGTAAAAAGGTAGTTTTGTTAGGAAGAGTCAAACGTGGTGGTCCAGAAGGGGAATAGAGGTGGCTCATGGCTGCAAGTGCGAGAACAAAGATAATATGTGACACGGAAGAGGAAATAGTAGCGGCTCATGGCCGCCTGCTTTCCCCCGCTCCGAAGATTCCCAAGATTGTTATATTGTTTAAAGGGACTGTAAAGGAAAAATGCAGAGTAATGGTTACATGATACAGATGAAAATAACGTGACCAGTATACTGTACTGTCATTGGCTGAAGTTCTGCTAACATAATACGGACTACATGTAATACTAATAATACTATCAATTTTTTATATAGTTAACCAGACGTTCGTATATATATATATGTTACGTACATCCGGCTAAACGGCTGAGCCGATTGGGCAACGCAGGGCCCTTCTGCTAGTATCTATTAAAAATTATGATGGGAGCAAACCTGAGATTATCTGGGATATTGCAGTTGCTGAATTAGATCTGTTTAAACCTATTACTTTTATACAAAATTATATATATATATGTATGAATTTTCGTATAACTTTGACACAATTTTATATTATATTTCTCGAGACAAGAACATCAGATAGATATGTCTTATAGGTATCGTTCAACGCCTGAGATTCTCAGGATTTATCCTATACCCCCTTTCACTTTATCCTGCGTGATCTTCAGGGTAACCCACTAAGGTTAAAACTTCTGAAACGACTGTATGGAATTACCAATGTCAGGATTTACTGCAACTGTAAATTAGTTCCTTTCTCAACTCAATCCTCATTAAAGACATTAACAGATCTGGGAACTTTAGAATGGTGGATATTGAGATTAATGCTTAATCCTCTCTTTTTCTTAATCTTAAGACTAACTCAATCTTGTACTTGTATCCTGGAAAGTGTATAAAATTCAACCAATTAGAGTCGCGTATTAGAAGCCGGTAAATTTGAAATTTTGCGCGCCATTTCAGATTAATATACAGAAACGGAGCTGAAAACTTTAGAATGGAAAAACTTTAATCCTGACTTCTTGATCCGAATATCCACTGTGGAAACTTTTCATTTTAGACCTTAATCCACTTTTTTTCTCTCTCCTTGGATATCCGTTAATTGTTTTCTCCAATGAGAATATTTCTGTTCTCTCATTGGTTGCCCGCTTTTCTCTGATTGGCTGCTACAGTTTCTCAGATGATTAAATATTAATTTGAATTTTATCGTTTTTCATACACTTTAAAGATAATCTTGCAAGATTATGTTAATCTGGAGATTAAGAAAAAGAGTGGATCAAGCCTTAATCCCGATATCCACCATTCAAAAGTTGCCAGCTCGGGAAGTACTCTTAATTTTAAAAAACCGGTTTTTGATTTTTCTGCACTATATCCAAAAAAGAGTGGATTAAGCAAGAAATCAAAAGTGTCCACATTGGATATTCGGATTAAGCAGTCGGGACTAATGGTATCCTATTCTAAGGTTCCCAGCTCTGATCATATTTATAGCAGTTTCTTAATGATACGGTGATACCATAGAAAAGAGTTATGGGTCGTCTTTTAACTCTCAACCGTTGTGGGTTACAGGATTTTTAGATTTACAATGGGTAACCTTTTATCTGATGCTTTGGAAACTGACCTACTGAGCTCCAATCTATCAATAATTTTAACTCTGAAGTTTAAAGGAATTCAAGCCGGTTAAGGTTGAAAAGATAAAACGAAATGAATTTTCCAGAGAAATTATCAACACTTGTATTTTATTGTACAACGAATAAAACGAACGACCTGGAAACGTTCATAACTTTTAATTTGTTCGTACATAAACGAATATCTTGTATTCAGTTTAAGTTCTTATAAATCCTAAAAAATATTTTCATTAAAGCAGTTCTTTGACTTAATTTTACTTATTGTGCAATATTAATTCAGGCTGTAAGTGTCAATCATGTCTCAGAATAATTTAATTTTTTATAATTATTATATTTGTGGCTAATCAAATCCCATCACATGCTAATCTAATCCCATTAAGTGCTAATCAATTTGAAGACTCGATCTCCTTAATGTCGCAGCACCTTACCTGACGTACTTATTTGTATTTCTTTTGTGAAGTACTTAGAAAACAAGAAATTTTATGCTATCTACGCAAATTCAAAAAATGTGAGAGTTCTGACCCATGGTTTTAGATACAAGATTCCCACAAAACATGACAGTAGCAAGACGAAGGTCGTCTTAAAATCTGTGGCATTTATGTGTAAATCTAATTTTAGAAGTAAAATTCTGGGATAATCTAAAATGTGGTCTGCCTTTTTTGTGCTTTTAATATTACCGAAGATTAGAAGAATTTTGTTCATATTTTGACAATTTTGGTTTTATTTAAAAAAAGTAAATCTGAACGAAATTCTTGATATCTCCGGTAATATTGACAAGTTTGACAACACAAAAAAAAAAATTTCAGGACTAGAAGAATTTTGGGGTTATTGTTTCAAGAATCATACATGGGAAAGTTGGTTGACGATTGAATGTCACAAATAAATTTAAAGTTCTAAGACGACTACCAAGTAGTCTTGCTACTATCACGCTTTGTGGGACACCCTGAATCTAAAACGCCGTTTGAGTTACATTAGTTATAGACTAAAATTATAGTTTCGTTCGATGCTGTGGACCTGACTAAAAAAAAATTCTGGAGTCAGGAAACATATCGGTTTACGGAATTAAAACCGGAAATGTTTCCCGGTTTTACGGAATGGAAAAAGGAATTTTTCCGGTTTACGGAATGGAAACCAGAAATTTTCCCGATTTACGGAATTGAAACAGAAATTTTCCAGGTTTAAGGAATGGAAACAGGAATTTTTCCGGTTTACGGAATGGAAACAGGAATTTTCCAGGTTTCTGGAATGGAAACCGGAAATTTCCCCGTTTTACGGAATAGAAACCGGAAATTTTCCTTGTTTACGGAATGGAAACCAGAAATTTTCCCGGTTTACAGAATGGAAACAGTAATTTTCCAGGTATACGGAATGGAAACATGAATTTTCTAGGTTTACGGAATGGAAACTGGAAATTTTCCCGGTTTACGGAATGGAAACCGGAAATTTTCTCGGTTTACGGGATGGAAATAGGAATTTTTCCGGTTTACAAAATGGAAACAGGAATTTTCCGGTTTTACAGCATTAGACTTAACTTTTTTCATGTTTAGGGAATGGATGGAAATGATCAAATCCATTTCATCCGGAATTATCCCGGAAGTCCACGTTACGGATAAATTACCCGGATCATTCCGCTTCGAAAATGGAATTTTTTCTAAAATAATGGAAACCTTAGATGCTAGATAGTCTACCCTATTCTAACCATTTCAAAAATTTAATACCATTATATATTTGCAAAACTAGAATAAGAATTTTCTGAATTAAAGTATAAATGAAAAAGAGCATGCAATTAAAATTACGTTAAGAGTTAAGATGCAGCCTCTTTATAGCAACTTAGTTGTGTTTTTGACAAATACCTGGGAAATATTAATCTATTTTCATTGTTTCCCTCGGCACGAAACTTAGTCCTAACTTTCCTCTTTTCAGGGTTAAGCTTTTAATCCAGGGATAATTATTCCCAAAATTTTAAAGGGAGGGGGATTTGGGATGCCCCCGGCCTCCCATAAGCCGCATCTGATAATTCCGTGAATTCCGTTTATGAAAAAAACCTGAAATTAAAAAGAATGGTTGGTTGCATTTTTAAACTAATGACAACTTTCCTAGTTTTTCTACTTAAAATTGCACAAATCTAACAGGCAAAAACGAATAAATAATGAAATATAAATATTTCATTTACGTCGTTAAAATAACTAAGATAGTTTACTAACAGTAACTTTCAGAAAAAACGAAAAATTTAACTGAACGTTTAGTTCTAAGCTATACCCACAATAAAAGGATGAGACTTCAGTCAGAGATGTTTTTACAGAATTTATATTGTCTGATTCCTTATATTTATGATTTTCTGCAACTGTAATTAATTATATCTTTCTTTGCCTATTCATTGATTATGCCGTGAAACGGTATTCATTAATTAAGTCGTAAAAAGATTATATTCAAGGCACAGGACTTAAGTTAACCCCGGAATCGTGAATTTTTAAATAGTTTGAGGTCGTCTTTATAGTTTCATTCTTTGTTGGTAACCCTGATATTTGAAAAGTGTCGTTGCGTAATTTTTACTTACCTATTAACGATCTTTTCTAAAAAAGCCTGAAAGTAGTATAGAGATATAAAATGTAATAATGACA